GCCCATATAAATGGGCTTGAGGCTCTATTTGACACCCATTTTTTAAGTGTGGAATCATAATTTTTTTTCTACTTTTCAGTCACATGTTCAAAAAAAATCACTTTTCACAATTTTTTTTTTTTTTGTAAAAAATCACAATCAAACGGGGTTTATTCCTTTTGATAAGTTACATCTGTGATCATTGAATCTTCAACGTATAGGTCACTAAGATTCAATAAGCTTACTGCACTTCCAGTTTGTTTCAAATTTCCATCATCTATTCTCCTCTATATTAAAAATAAAAATAAAATAAATATATATATATATATATACACACACACACTTGGCTGTCATATCGTAATTTGTTTTAATGCCTAATTGTTGCACACCGCTCGAGGAGCGATAATTGTAAGATAAAGGATATGACAATATCATTGATGTTAAAATATTAAAAAGTCGTGTTCTTTATTTTAAAACTTTAATGATAAGTTGCCACATCACACAACTTTTATGACATGTTTGAATCACATTATTTTGAAAGAATATATTTTAAAAGAGTAATGTCATTCATCCCTAATAGAATTACAAACACAGTTTAGGTGGCTCTAAATTATAGGTTAAATAAAAGGTGAAATTAAATGACTTATTTAATTTCACCTATCATTTAAAGCCACATTAACGTCACCTAAACTGTGTTTGTAACCCCGGTGAGAATGAATAGTATTACTCATTTTGAAATAGTTGATTGATGGCGAAATATGTGGTTGAAAAAGAAAGAAAAGTTATTGATGTAATGGAAAATATTATTTTATTGAAAAATGTGTGATTGAAAATGAGTAAAAAAATGAGAATGAAATTTTAATGTGTACCAAACATGGGCTAAATAATCAGTGATCAATTGAGATAAATTAAAATTTAATGCTCCAATTGAAATTTTGCTCAAGTTTTAAGAGTTAATTGTCCAATAATCAATAAACTTATATTTGTGTTTTGAATGCTCAATAAAGTTTTAGATGTCGAGTTTTGACTACTAAATTTATCAAAATATTGGACTTTAGTCACGGCATGACATCCTTTTCACAACTCTAATGAAATTGTGACCTGCAGACGAAATGTACAAGTGGTGCTCAAACACCGTTGTACAAATTGTCACATAAGAAAGACGTTTTTATTGCTCACTATACTTTAAAAAACGTCTTTGATTGCTCATTATGCTGTAAAGATGCATTTGAATGCTCACTACACTTTAAAGTGGTTAAGTTTTGACTAGTAAATATGTAAATTGACACCGATCTGTCCTGAAAATTTAGGAATGTCGTTCCAAGTATCTCTCACACACGGCAAATTTTAAATTTTACAATATGTTACAAAGAAATGTTTCAAGACATTCTGCAATGTATTTGAATTTTGTTGCGATTCTTTTCATATTTATAATTCTAAGTAGAGACATTCATCCATATTAAAGTATAAACATCTTGATACTTGATTTCCCTAATCTGACCACATTATGCATTATATCGGTTGAAGTTAATTTGGACAATCTACAATTTGTTAGTTAAATATTGATCAACATTTGCAGCTACTAATTAAAAATAGAACGATGAAGAGGGATAAAATAAAATGGCAAGGAAAAAAAATTAAATTTTGTTGTATGCAAGTGATACTTGAAATATCATTCCTAAATTTCAGGGCAGGTCGACGTCTATTTTACACATTTAGTATCCAAAACTCGAGCATCTAAAAAGCAATCAAAGACGTTTTTAAAAGTATAATGAGCAATAAAAAATGTCTTTCTTACTTGACAATTTGTGTAATGGCGTTTGGGCGCCACCTGTACGTTTCGTACGTCATGTTACGAATTACGTTAGAGGTGAAACAAATTTCATGTTAGTGTGTAACGTCCAATATTTTGATAAATTTAATGATCAAAATTGAGACATTTAAAATTTTAGCGAGCAATTGAAAATACATAATGAAGTGTTTGATTACTATTTTTTTTCATGGAAAATATTTTTCAACTTTTAAAAATATGCATAATTTTCCTTGTTTTTAAGGAAATTTTTTTTATTTTTATAGAGGAGTTAGTTTTTGTTTTCCACAAAATAAGAAAAATATTTTCTTTTTAAAAATATATTTTCCATGTCAATCAGACACACTTCAAGCTGATTATTAGGACAATTAACTCAAATTCTAGGAGTAAAATCTTTGAATGGTCACTGAACTTTAACATGATCACGACTTACTCATTGAACTTCAAATTGTCTCTTAATGGTCACAGAACTTTCTGCTATTGCACCACCTACATCACTCACCAACTTCCGTTACCATTGAATCTGACGTGGCGGACGGAAAACACACGTGCNTGAAAAATATTATTTTATTGAAAAATGTGTGGTTGAAAATGAGTAGAAAAATGAGAATGAAATTTTAATGTGTACCAATCATGGGCTAAATAATCAGTGATCAATTGAGATAAATTAAAATTTAATGCTCCAATTGAAATTTTGCTCAAGTTTTAAGAGTTAATTGTCCAATAATCAATAAACTTATATTTGTGTTTTGAATGCTCAATAAAGTTTTAGAAAGTTTTAGATGTCGAGTTTTGACTACTAAATTTATCAAAATATTGGACTTTAGTCACGGCATGACATCCTTTTCACAACTCTAATGAAATTGTGACTCTAATGAAATATACAAGTGGCGCTCAAACACCGTTGTACAAATTGTCACATAAGAAAGACGTTTTTATTGCTCACTATATTTTAGAAAACGTCTTTGATTGCTCATTATGCTGTAAAAACGCATTTGAATGCTCACTACACTTTAAAGTGGTCGAGTTTTGACTAATAAATATGTAAATTGACACCGATCTGTCCTGAAAATTTAGGAATGTCGTTCCAAGTATCTCTCACACACAACAATTTTTAATTTTTACAATATGTTACAAAGAAATGTTTCAAGACATTCAGCAATATATTTGAATTTTGTTGCGATTCTTTTCATATTTATAATTCTAAATAGAGACATATTCATCCATATTAAAGTATAAACATCTTGATACTTGATTTCCCTAATCTGACCACATTATGCATTATATCGGTTGAAGTTAATTTGGACAATCTACAATTTGTTAGTTAAATATTGATTAACATTTGCAGCTACTAATTAAAAATAGAACGATGAAAAGGGATAAAATAAAATGGCAAGGAAAAAAAAATTAAATTTTGTTGTATGCAAGTGATACTTGAAATATCATTCCTAAATTTTAGGACAGGTCGACGTTTATTTTACACATTTAGTATCCAAAACTCGAGCATCTAAAAAGCAATCAAAGACGTTTTTAAAAGTATAATGAGCAATAAAAAATGTCTTTCTTACTTGACAATTTGTGTAATGGTGTTTGGGAGCCACCTGTACGTTTGTTATGTCATGTTACGAATTACGTTAGAGGTGAAACAAATTTCATGTTAGTGTGTAACGTCCAATATTTTGATAAATTTAATGATCAAACTTGAGACAGTTAAAATTTTAGTGAGCAATTGAAAATACATAATGAAGTGTTTGATTACTATTTTTTTCATGGAAAATATTTTTCAATTTTTAAAAATATACATAATTTTCCTTGTTTTGAAGGAAAATTTTTTTTTTTTGAGAGGAGTTGATTTTTATTTTCCTCAAAATAAAAAAAAAAATTTCTTTTTTTAAATATATTTTTCATGTCAATTAATAACACTCCAAACTAATTACTAGGACAATTAACTCAAATTCCAGTAATGGATAATATACAATTTACTCGGTTTTCTTTACACTTCTTTTCCCAATGACGTTCGCGTGTTGAAAGCGACAGTAGGACATTTCATTTTCACTTCATCTTGTTTTCAATACAGAGTTTTTACTGTTTTTGCTTGTCCTTTCTGTTCTAGTGTTGCTTGAAGAAATCAACTTGGATCCGTCAAATCTGCATTCAGCATTCCCAGAGCTAACGTTTTCCCTTCCAACATTTCAATGCACTTGGTTTGTATTTCTTCTGCTAATTGGTTTGTATTTCTTCTGCTAATTGCTCTTACACTTCAGTAGTCGAAAAGAACCCAAAACAAGAAAGAAGATGATCCGGGCATTGAATTTCCCATGTTTCTAAGATCCATGATTCAGGTACTCCAGTGTTTTCACTTTTCAACCCAGCCCGGACATCGAATCGCAAATGTTCAATCGGGTCGAACAGGGTTTTTTTTTTTTTAAATATCGCAGGCTATAGTAGTTGTACCCTGCACACTAATCAGAAATTCCTGTTTTGTTCCATTTATATTTAATTTTGTTTGGAGGGCTTGGGTAGCATAAACTGTGTTTGTATTTTGCTTTGTTTGTTCCTTGATTTCCAATAGTGTGCTTGTGTATCGTTGAAGACATAATAGGTCAAATCTCACCACCACGCATTTATTAAAATTGTGCACGGTCAGGCTTCTGATGGAAAATATTTCGGCCTACAAACCCTGCACTTTGAAGACACAATTTAAATGATATACATGGTGGCTTCTTTAACATTAAGCTTTTAGACTTGTATAATTGTATGTGGAAACAACTTTATCTGAGGACATATGGTAAGAAATAAATATATTTGGGAGATCATTTTGATATTTCTTGAATGGTTGATGACAGAAAATTAATATGTTTGGGAGCTCCAGCACTTGTTCTTCATCACGTGGGATCTTATGTAATTTTTGTTGCAGTGTGATCCTTGAACTTATTGTATTTTCTATTAATCCCTTTCTGTTTCACAACAGATATAAATGTAATGAAAAACCAAAATAAAAAATGTATTCTCTGTTATTTCCATAAACAATCAGGCACCTGGGATTTTTGTTTAATTTAATTTATGAAGAAAAAATATTTCTTCTAGTAATTCTTATTGTTTTGAACCTTAATGATCAACTCAATTACAAGAAAAATGTTTTAATTTGGATGCTACTTTTTTGTGTTTGATGATTCAGTGTATGGTTTTGTAAGTGAGCTTCGTGAGGGCTATGACATCGGAGAGAGTTAATTCATTGGCCTCCTTGGCGACGATTGGTGAAGGTAGAGTGAGCAATTACTCACTGGGCAGTTCAAGAATCAGGTCTCCAGACAATGTTGATGTGCATTATGATAGTGGACTTGATGGTGCGGGTTTAAAGTCTGCATGGTCTTTTCAAAGAGTGCCTCTTGCTTCTTTTTCGAAACCTGCTCCTTCAAAATGGGAAGATGCACAGAAGTGGATAGCAAGCCCTGAGTCTAATATATCAAAGACCGAGCCAGTTGGTCAAGGCGTTGGATCACGAAAGCCAGTTCATTATGGACTCGGTAATCAACCGTCCATTAAGGAGGTTGTTGAAGTGCCTGATCAGAGATTATTTACTGATGGGGAGCCGGGTACTAAAGGTATTGACTGGAGTCATGCTACTAAAGAGAATGGGGGGCTGAAGTCTGTTAGTTGGGAGGCTGACGCATATGCAAGTGAATCATTTAGCAAGCCAGTGCTTGTGATTGAAAATCGTGTAAAAGAATCAAGTAAGACTCTTTCGTTGCTCTTTAACTTTGTGTTGTTGTATCATATCATACTTATCATTGTGTATGTTTCATGTTTCTATGTATACATGCCTAAATGTCCAGTTTTTATATTGGATTTTTTGTTTACAGGAAACCACGTGCAGCGAGCTCATAAAATTTGTGCTCATTGTAGTAGGACCACTTATAAGTCATGGTTTTCTGCTTATGTCATCTTTCATTCTTTTTTTCCTCAACAAAATATTTTGAACACTATAATCAAATTCTTATTCTTGATCTCGATTCTACCCTTGTTTCTATTTTTACGTGATTTTTTACACATTTTGCTTACACTTGATATTTTTTTGAAGTTTTATGTTTATAGATGTAACACCCTGGATTCCCACTATTAGCGGTTATTTTCTAATTTAGAACCGAAGAGCATAAGTTAAGGGACCAATCTGTAAATTTCGAATATTTTAAAGCCCAAGCTGAAATTCACCATTCACGACGCTGTTCACCAGGCCCCAGAAACTGAAATTTTCGATATTTACAGTTTGGTCCCTGAACTTTCAAACTATCACTTTCGGTCCTAAATTTGAAAAATACCGGCTACTAGTGCGAATTTGGGGGTGATACAACAGCCTTGTCAAGATAGGGATTCCAGAAATCTTGATTTATTCCTTTGGTTTTGCTTTTTTCTTGCATCATTACTTTCTTTGTATGTACTAATCTTGAGCTCAAGCCGTGGTACTTAGAGATTATGTCCAAATTCAGAATTTCTTAAAAATTCTTGTAAGCATTACAAATTCTTGATAGATTCTTAACATTGATTTGCTCTGCGCATTAGTTTCTTGCTGTTATCAATTCAGAAAAACAGATTTACTATGTTAATCATTTTGGTTCAACAATATGATGACAAATTATAAATTCGAAATCTCAGTGTTTTGGTACTGTGAACACATAATTTCTCAATGTGAAAGTTAATATTAACGCAATGCCATTTGGTTAAAGTTATTATCTTGCGAAGTTCCTCGCCCACATGATGAATTTTTAGAACTTGACCATGTATAATCATCTGTTTGCAGTTAACCTGAACTGTCATGATTCATCTGTTTCTATCCATGGTGCAACTGCATTTATTCCGCCACCAACTGCTAGATCCGTATCAATGAGAGATATGGGCACAGAAATGACTCCACTTGCTAGCCAAGAACCTTCCAGAACTGGAACACCTGTGAGGGCAACAACTCCTACACGAAGCCCAACTCCTTCTTGGCCATCATCCCCTGGAACAGCTTCAAGTGTTGTCTCTCCTATTGGTCCTCAAACTGATCCATTGGGTTCTAACGGACAAGAGTTGTCTGAAAAGGAGCTACAAATGAAAACTCGAAGGGAAATTATGAATCTTGGGACTCAATTGGGTAAGGTGAATATTGCTGCATGGGCTGAGAAAGAAAACAAAGATAAGGATGTTTCTAGTTCACGGAATGCTTTACAAAGAGAAAAACCAGCTTCAAGTGTCATTGAAACTCGTGCTGAAGCTTGGGAAGAAGCTGAGAAAGCCAAGTATATGGCCAGGTAATTTCTATGATTTTCTTTTGCTCGTAACATTCATTGCGCAGCACCGAGAATCAAATTTCGTGCTTTATCTCTATTTTAATCATGTGTCCCAAATTATATTAAATCTTGAGAAAGTTATAGTGACATTGAGCCACTGTTTGGGCTCCATTTTAATGTGTTTTGGGAGAAAATGTATTTTATGAATTTTTGGGGAATGTGTGGTTAAAAGATGAGGAAATTTTTTTGGTTTAAGTGTAATATTATTTTATGGAAGAATGTATGGTTGAAAATGAGTTTTGGAAAAATGTATTTTGGAAATAATGGGGCCCAAACCGGGGCTGAATTCTCTGCTTGTTTCTATTCAAAAGTTGCCTAATATCTGAAACTCATTGAAATTGGTTAGGCGACAGGATGGTTATTCTAGCTCAGTTGTGCTATAATTCATCTGTTTTTTCAGGTTCAATCGTGAAGAAATCAATATACAGGCATGGGAAGATCATCAGAAGGCAAAGACAGAAGCTGAGATGAGGCAAATTGAGGTACACGGTCTTTCCTGCCATCCAAGATTTGTTTGTTAATGCATGCTGGTTTGTTTCTTTAATTCAAGTTTTTAGTTTTCATGTGCATTTTATTTGGCATAACTTTTGAGAAGTCAAAATGATCTTTTAAGACCCAAAACCTGATTTTGGACCGTTTGACTAATTTTATGAAAGTGATTCTTCTAGTAAGAAGAGAGACTGGCTTTCTTTAAAAGTACTTCAGAATAGGAAGCACTTTTAGAAATTAGTTTCCGAACAAAAATTAAGATGGCTTTCTTAGAAAATTCTCATACTGGAAGCAAAAGCAAAATCTGTGTCAAAAGGGCCCCAAGTCAATTATGAGCATTTTGGGGAGGCTTATATATAAGCAACAAATGAATGGATTGTTTTTAATATGAACCCACCTACATTTATAATAAGCCAACATAAGCTACACATTTGGAACTTATCTTTAAGATAAGTCACTCCAAATATGTTATACACCCTTGCCAGAGTGTACGCTCTACCTTCTAGTATGGAGCTCGAAATTGATGCTTCGCTTTTTGTTACTGTTGTTTGATACTTGCCACCGCTGTCAGGTATCTGTTAACCAGTTATCCAATCAGGGACCAAAAGAAAAAAATTATCATTGCGAAGCATGACACCACTTTTATGAATTCCACTTGACTAATGTTTCAAGCCTCCCCACCGATCCCTGCGTGGGGAAGAAGGGAAAACTAATCAGTAAAAAGAACAAGGCCAAGATATTTTGCTCTTTTAGAAATGAATTACGGTGGTACAATTATTCTTAGAACTGGTCCAAGCTAGGTTAGATTTGTTCTTTTTAAAGAATTCGAAGTTAAACACTCTCCTCCATTTAAAGACAATATTTCCACTTGTGGTAAATGTGGTAATGTTTATTGCCATTAGAGGTACGCATGTTGTTGGCAGGACTTTGAACAACAATCTTTGATATAGCTAGGGGTTCGAGGTTGGAAAACTTGAATTATTTAACAGTGGAGATGGAATTTCTTTTTGTATGGGTGTCATGCCTCAGTTATTGCACTCTTGGTTATGCCTGGGTGAATACTGAATTGGAAGTAGAAAGAACATGTACGAAATAACGAGAAGAAAAGTGGAGAACAAGTATATTCTAATACATTTTTTGAATTAAATCATGTCATATAAGGCTCCTCCCAAAATAGCACAACAGATTACACAAAACGAAGTCGAATATAAACTATGATTTGAAAAGATATTTTAAAATTTCATGGTAAAAATGTCCATGATCAGGTCCCACCATAGGAATGAAATATTCTCATACATTCTCCGAAAGTTAAAATATACTATATAAGGCTCTTCCCAAAATAGTGCACCAGAAATATACAGAAGTGAAGTTGAATCTGGAAATACGATTTGAAAAGTAACTTACAAATTTCATGGTAAAAGTTTGGATGCTTTGGTGTTGTCCTTGGTCAGGTCCCACAAGAGGAACAACGATATTCCATTGTCGTCTCATAGTTTTAGTATTTAAGTGAATAACAAACAATCTTAAATAGGTCTTTCTTCTCTTCATTCAATAGATTGCCTTGAGCATTCCCCATTCCCTGTATCAAATCTTGTGAAACGAAGACAGAGAATCTAATGATATAACGTCCTAAGAATTCCCTGTATCACTTCCGAAGAAGAAACTGATGAGGAAATCAATTAATGTTACATGATATTAATGATGGAAAGTTTTCAATTTAATTATCATACAAAGCAAGAACCATAAACGCGTAATCATGTGAATAGTATTAAACTATTAATTAATTCAATAAATGAAAACTACTTAGGGTTTGTTTATGCAGCTTATTTGAATTATTCATTGCTCATTGTCCCTTCGGGGACATCCGATAAAATTGGAACGATACAGAGAAGATTATGCAGCTTATTTGAAAATAATTTTTCCTCAAGCTCATTTTCAACCATACTTTCTCTCAATAAAATAATTTTGCAAGTGGATCCATAATTTTTCCTTACATTTTAACCATATATTCTCCCAAAAAATCATTTTTCACTTCGAATATCTCTCATATACATAGCTAACATTCATCCTTACCGTTGGTTCAAGAAAATTAGAAATATATAGTGGAATTTGAGGACAGAGAAGATATCACTGGGTATAGATAAGAGAAGTTTATAATTGTATTATTTTTCGAATACCCGCATATAGTCATCTCTTTTTTCCTCTTTCTCTAGCAGCCGAATTCTCCTTCTCTTTGTTTTAGCATTTTCTTGTGCTGAGTTCTCCCTTCTCAATAGGCGTTAGTTCCCCTTTTATTCAATTCTGAGGCTGCATCCCCGCATCCTTAGTTGGCAGCGCAACTTTCCTTCATTTTCTTATTTCCATGTTTACTAGTCATTGCAGCTGCTTCCCTTGTGTTCTTTCTTTTTCCTTTATTGATTGTTTTTAACTGTCCATACCTCGAATGAAATTTTTTCTTTCCTTTTGCATGCTTCACTTGCCGACCTTGTTCCATTAATTGTGGCTTTTTTATTTCTTTATAGTTTATTTCTTCAACTTTAATTATTAACCTGCCCCAAAAAATAACACATTAAGCCTATGTGTGGTCCCCATTTTTTCAAAAATCATTTTTCCAAAATTCATTTTCAACTATACATTCTCCCATAAAATAATTTTACGTGTGAATCAGGAGTTTTCCATTATTTTTTAACAACACGTTCTCCAACAAAACGCTATATCAAAATGCATTTTGGCCATAAAATGGGGTTCAAATAGGTTCTAAATAAGTAAATAACTAACACAATTAAAAAATGTGATGGGAACATGCTCATCATTTACTAGGCAGCAATAAATTGAATTTTAATTGTTGATGGTCCCAAATTAAAAATAAGCATGTTAATAGTAAATGAGGGGAATTTCGTTATCTTTCGTCTTCTCATATATTGATTTTCCACATTACGGCATTGGATATTGCCTTTTGCAGGTGGAGGTGGAAAGAATGAGAGCAAAAGCACAAGACAAATTGATGAACAAACTGGCAGCTGTACATCGTAAAGCTGAAGAGAAGCTGGCAGCAGCAGAGGCGAAGAGAAACTGTCATGCTGCAAAAACAGAACAGAAGGCAGATTATATTCGCAAAACTGGTCGCTTTCCTTCTTCATTCTCATGCTGCTGTTGGTGCTTCTGAACTGTTGCTCTATTGTTTTTCTATTTATCGAACTTCTGTCTACAGTTCATGGCATTCATGTGGTTGCTCCGTCCTGCATACCTTTTATAGAATTTTGGGTAGTCTTCTATGCAATTCCCTTTTTGTACAAATTACTTGTGACCATTAGATTGGCACATCAGAGATTGCTGAGGCGTCCTGTACTGTGAAATTTGGAAGTGGATTATTTCTTGAGTGCACATTTGGTACTTTTTTCCCCTTTATATTAGTCTAGTATGGTCCAAGTCCAACTCACCTTACCAAAAGTTCCGTGAGGGTTCCAAAATGGCACGGGACATTGACCTTCACATAGATGACATGAATGGAATACCATTAGTAAGAATTCTTCCTCTTAGAGAAGTTTAGACTATGCGTAAGGTGTCCCCGAAACACCCGAAAGAATCCTGAATGTATCTTGAAGATGTTTCATACCTGAGGGTATTGTTAGGAGAGATAATTGACAGATTGGTTGAATTTGAAATTAAAATTGAAGATTAATGATCCAATTGAAATTTACTGTAGTCCAATATACCCAATTAATACAAATTAAAATTTAGCGACTAATCTGAAATTTCTCTAAAACTTCTTAGATCACGGATGAAGTTTTATGGTTTGCTACAAGATCGTTTTCAATTACACATTTAAACAATAAAATATTATACGCTAATGCTAAAAACTTTTTCATATTTTTTTATCATACTTAAATCATGATTTCGCTCAAGGTCCCTCAACTCCTAAAAATAACAAATAATAAAAAGCATATTAAGAATTATATAATTACAGGATGAAGCGAGCTATATCTATATCTATATCTATATATATATCTTCATCATTTTCTTGGGGTTGAAAAAGATCCGTACTCGAATCTTGTACTAGTTTTCATCCTATATCTCGTAATGATGGCACTTTCTCAACTTTTTGAACTCCTCCGATTGGCCATGCATGCCATTTATATCAAGTTGTTTTATTGCAACAATTTGATAAGTGCTCTTTTATTGTCATCTGTACGCTTTACATAATCTACCATCGAATACTTGTGAAACAACATCTAAACGAGTATGTATCTTACTTACAAGTTACATAAAGGACTAGTTGACTAAGGTTTAAAAAAAGATTGAAATCAAACCATGGTCTTGTAAGGGCACAACGAAATTTAATTGGAAAAGAAAACATTTTCTTAGTTTTTTTTTTTTTAATTCTTATAAGTGGGACTCTTTTGCACTTTTTGAAAAAGATTTGAGATTTTGCTACAATTTTTTATTTTCTTCCTTTTTTATTTATTTAAAGAGGAATATAAAATCATCATTGTACAAGGCTTTAATGAAAGAAATGGACAACAAGAATGCTTTGCTCAACATTTCCTTGATTTGAAGGTAAAATGCATCAAATTAAAAGGATAGAGACGATTTGCACAGAACAAGCAAAGGATAAGAACATTTTGTGCCAAGTATCCCAATTTTTAACTAAAATCTGAAAAACAAATAGCTCAAAAATCTAGCCTGCCTTGTAAAATAGGGAATACACCCGTAGTACACACTCTCATGCTCAAGTCAAATTGTCTCAAAAGGAGAATTTGATTGAATTTGACTTGAGTTTTTGGTCGCATTGATTTGGTTAGTCATCCTTGGTGGTGACAAGTCATACGGTCGTGTATTCTTTTATACTTACTCCCGCTTACAGTGGCTCGAGTAGCCAAGTAAGTTATAGTCCTTTAGCCGATCATCTCAATGTGTCCAAGTTCGACGAATGATAGTGTTGTAAGCATCATAAAAAATTCGCTTTTCCGTGACTACTAACTATTTTGAAACATCCAATTTAATTATTAATCAGTCATAATCTCTCGAAATCATACTTTTGAGAAATCCAATTTGTTTATTTGTATTAGCTGTCGAATTCCTAAGTCTCAATCATTCCCTTGAAATCATGGAAAAACTCAAAACGCTTAGTCAGTGTGCCTTGTCCCCTCGAAATCAGCTTTCGCAACTCTCCGGCTTAATATCCTAATATACTGTTCCTGTTCACCATGTCAACTCTGCCACCCACAACTCTTAAATGTTGGGAACATAATATATTGTGCACTTTTTCTTTCGGTTGCGGTAAGGTCGACGGGGATCTAGGAGGCAGTAGGCCCCTTGGTGTGGAGGGTTCGGGGGTGGGAGCCCCATAGGCAAAATTTTCAATTTTGCAAGAATAATTTGAAAAATCCGTACACGTATTAGGTCACCCTAATATTTTCTTTCGATTGAAAAGGCATCAAGACAAGCCTCCATTCTTTGTATTATCGAAGAGAGATAAAGAAAGACGTGAATCCAAAACTTACCGTAATTCTCTTAAATGATTAGACAAACTCAAACACCTTCACGTATATATGTAGGTAAAGTTTTTTTTAATAAGATTTTACATAGCACCTATTTTAGCCCAATTTTTTAGAATAGATTTTATATAAATTGATTTATTTTATTTTTTGAGAATGTGTGATTGAAAAGTATAAATTTTTTGAAGTTTTCCTTTCCAGGTCTTGAGATAGATAGGGACATGGAATCGCCTTAAATGGATCTCCAACCTGGTTGTGTTGATCGAAGGCTTGTAGCATCACGTTTGGATCCGCTAAGAAAGACATCAAGAAAGCTTGAATACGAATAGTTGATTCAGTAGTTACGGTTAGACCTTTAGATGCTTCCCGCTATCAAGCTACAACAGGCTAAGACCCTGTCGTAGTCATCTCTATAACATCCTAGTCCAAAGAATCCAATATACTAAATTATTTTATCAAGAGAATGTGTAATTAAAAATGAAATTCCAAAACATGAGCATAATGTCAAACTTAGAGGTTACCATTGCAAAAATTTCATCCGTTAGTCTTCGATCTTTTAGTAAAATTTCAGTGAATTTTATTTTATCTTAATCGGAGCACTCAACTTCAATTTAATTTCAAATTTCACGAGGATGAAAAAATTCGTAGTATATGAGATTTATGCTTTGAAAAAAAAAAAAAAATCAGAAATTTATTATTAATTTTTTTAGTCATTTTCTAATTTATAAATAAAGACCTTTTGTAAAATGATAATGTGTTGGTAGGGACAAAATAATTGGTTCCCTGTTTCGTCACAAGGCAAAATGAATCGCAATAATGTTGTGTTGAAACATGTGATTGGTACTCCAATAATTCTATACTTTACGAATAATCGAATATTCATATTAAATTATTAGTAAACTAAATGAATTTTACTTTTGACGTGCTTTAAATAACCTTTTATGAATAGCATATTATTATTTTAAAAATTATTAAAAAAAAAGTTACATTTTATTCGTCGTTGTGTTCAATACCCATATGTACGTCGAGTATGCTATTGGCATATAATATTTATTGATGTCTCTTTTCAATAAATATTCTCAAATAATTCTAAAATATTTTGAGTATCAAATATTCATATTATAATCTAGGTGTCAAATAATTGCACATATGATTATTTATTTTTTACGTCACGTTAGAATAAGATATATTAGAGTAAAGAAGAAAAATAAATTGAAATTTTATCCACTCATTTGTAAATATTCAATTTTTAATTTATTTTTTTTAAATGTACAATTTTCTCTTCAAAAGTGTTACCAAAATATTCTTTATTTGCATATATATATGCACCACACTTTTTGTATATCTATTTTTCAAAGGCAAGAATTTTCCAGATGCATGCAGGAAGTGATGTTTTTGTCATCTCTTAATTTAACGCACAATTAAATTTATTAATTTCACTCATAATATACTTTTAATCACTATATTCTTCCGTTCATATATATTACATCAACCTTGCTATGCTGCCACCCTCCTTGACAATCCCCTCACGACAGGGGGCAAATTTTTTTGGTCTTTTTTAATTTATATGAATCACACCACATGTGAGTGAATGTCAAGAAGAATGTTAAAATGCATTTGACAAACAAGTTTAATTCATATGTATGGATTGAGACTGCTATGTAATAATAGTATTTACTCTTTTGCTTGCCGTTGTTTGGTACTCATTATCTTTCTCATTTTTTTCTCTTTCTTCATTTTAACCACACATTCTCAAAATAAAATAATATTACACACAAATCTAAAACTTTTCATCACGTTTCCACTACACATTCTCTCACCAATCAATGTTCCAAAAAATTTCAACCTATTAAAATGGGTGTCAAACACTCGACTTATATGTTTCACTGTGATCGAGTTTGGTGCAATCGTATGAGAAACTAAGCCCCGTTTCGCACCCATTAGATTATAATTTATTTTTTTCTTATTAATCACATATTCTTTAATAAAATAATATTACATGTAAATTCAAAGGTTTTTTTATTCTTTTTTAATCACACATTCTCCAAAAAATTACTATTATTCTCGTTATAATGTGGAATAATTGGGACCAAAAGGACTCTAAGTATAAATTAAGATGCCTAGTGATAGTACTAACTAAATAGTATAATTATGGTGTATTAATAATATTTGTCTTTATACTTTATTAAGCCAATATAGGCTCTGTTTGTGTCCATTGTTTGTGAAAATGAATTTTGTAATAGTAATTTTTTGGAGGATGTGTTGTTAGAATTTACGTTGCAAAATTATTATTGGAAAATTTTGTGGTAGAAAATAAGTTTGGAGAAAAATAAATTTTTAAATAATGGAACTCAAAAAATGGCATGATGTGGAAGGAGAATATACATAAAGAGTGTTTGACCCATCAGATTACATTGTATGAGAAGAGTAAATAATATATTATGGTGGATTATGGTATATTAATACGATTTTAGTCTTTATAATTTCTTGATTCAACGTGATAGGACCAAGGGAGAATATGCATAAGGGGAGAAATTAAGTACAAAATAGGGTGAATTAAGGGTTTTAGTCTTAATACTCTCTTAGGCCAAAATGAAAACATAATGGGAAGAGAGTATACGAAAAGGGTGTGTTTGATGCATCGAATAAGGGTTCATATACGATTTGTCTTTATCGAAACCTCATTCTGTATTTTCAAGAATGGAGTTATCAAATGCTCGACTTGCAACTTATTTGGATTAAAAAAAGAGCACACTTTAAGCACCCAAAAGGTCAGGAAAGTCTTCATTTTTAGGTAAATAAGTCCAATCATTTTATATATATGTATTTGGTGCTTCCAAGATTTGATTATTTCATTGTTGGTTCTATATGTCTGTCCTTGTATGTTGATGCAATGGAGTTTTATATGCCTGCCCCCACCCTATATTGAATCGCAGGCACGTTTTTATTCTGGTGTCATCTCTGATCGTTTAAAGTCGTGTTTGTGGTCAAGACTATTTTGGGAGGCATCCAACCTGCACAATTCTGCGTAATATGCCAACTTTATTGTTTCATCAATATCTAAAGTGGCAAAGACTAGCACAAATAGGACTCATTTGGATGACCCGACTAATAATTGACGTTGTCCAAGCTAGTCGAACCCAAGTTGATTAGGCTTGCCGTGAAGTTCATCTAGCATGTCCTCGACCATATACCAAATCTCGGTTCATCCGACCAAGCAAGTTTAGTGCCCAAACAACGCTGATTATTGAAAATTAGAAACCCTAATTGCATATCACAAAGATCAATAAAATCACAGTATTAAAAAAAAAAAAAAAAACACACACACACACACATAAATAGAACAAGCAAGTTTAAAGATGTCCGTCTCAATGTGGGACTGCAATCTCATTCTCGTATTGACTCCCTACGATGACAATAATTGAGTTCTACAACTTAACAACTATTGTATTCAATAAGAGACAAGAGTCCAACAACTCTTTTAGGAGAGCTCGAACGTACATGATAAGTCTTTCTCGAGTAACATTAATGCCATAAATGCCAAGGACATGTAATCGGATGCCAATCAAGAGGTATTAAGGCTACTTTATCTCATGTACAACATCACCATCAGGGGCAGGCCGCCCTATGCATTAGAGTACCTGGTTGTGGCATGCAGGGAGGCTTATGCAGTGGCGAATTTAATGGGGACTGGGGCAGGGCCCATTTTCATTTTTTTATTAAAAAAATTATGTATGTATGTATATATATATTTATTTATTTATTATTATTTTTCATATTAGCCCGACTTAAATTTTTTAGTCTGGCCGTGGATCCGCCCTTGCTCATGCACTTGTTCGTGTTGATTCTAGTTTTTCACCTCTTTTCACATCAAAACGATTTTGTAATTGTAAATATGAATTGTTACGACTTTAATGAAAGGTAAATGACTCTTGGTAAAGCATTGTTTCACGATCTATATGCAAGATTGGTGATTTATTGATTGAGAAATACTTTGATGTGCATGTTGACATTAAGTAAGAATAATGTTCTTTTGTTCCCCTTGATTTTCCTGCCTAATAAGTCTATCATTTGCATCATTTTCTCATAACGTATTGTTTATGCTTTGTCATTCTTGAAAGACAACGTATAAACCTCGAGTATAAATATCCTTCATTCTTGGTGTTTGGGTATTCTTCGTAGATATACAAAGCGAACATGATGAGTTCATTGTATCATGGAGACATTTTTGTCCCGAATGGATCATAGGATTGGTGGCGACAAATAATATCTTAAGAAAAGCGCAAATACGTGGCTTGCAGATGGTTTTCTTCATTTTTCGAGACGGTTCGAGATTCTTTACTTTTCAACTTTCTTCTAGCCCTTTCTAATGTAATTTGAAGACTTTTATGGTACTTCTTGGATATTTCCCAACAAAACATCTCAACATCTATTCTAGAACCGTCTCTCACACTAACTGCATCCCATTTATTTAAATATCCAGCCATACCAATATTCTATTAAGCTTTTTATCAGTGTCATAAAAATCGACTCAATTATCAACCCAAAAAGAGAGAGAGTCAAGAATCGAATCGGTGATTTTTAAAATTTTTAAAAATATGTACTTGTACAAATTTTTTTAAAATATACACATTTAAAATTTTTAAAAAATGTACATTTACATAGGTTGAACTAGTTGAATAGGGAACGGGTCACGGATTTTCCAAAAATCGACCAGTTTAATGAGGTTTGAGGTGAGTTTTTAATTAGAAGTTCTATAAGTATAACCGGATCGATTTTGGTCCTGATTTTCCCGATTAATTCTATAGGGTCGGTTCAATTTATTAATCACTGATCTAGAAATCACATCAATCAAATTAAATCAATTTTCTTACAAAAGTTCACATTTTTGCCGCTTTTTTTGATAACAAAATATAATTTCATTCAACTTGAAAAAGAATTACATCATTGCATCATGCTTAGTAATGTGTGAAACAAAATTCGGAGGATCATTCCACCACACTACCAAGTCATTTAGATACCAAGAATTCTTAGCTAGACAATGTGCATAACATGTATTATCCTAGATTTAAACGAGCCACTAACAATCATATAAATTTTATCTCTTTATGAAAATCTGTAAAATAATGTAGGACCTTAATAAACATTTACAGAGTCAGGGCAAATTCCACATTTTAGAAAATATATATCAATTATTTTCTTGACCAAACAAATTTATAAGAATTCAGAACCTCACCTGAATTTCCCTTAACCATAGGATATATGAACAAAGAATACAAATACAAACAGATAAGGGGAGATGGCAATTTGTTGCATCAAAACTTCCATTTTCTATAAGATTTGTAATATATTTTCTTGTCGTCGAATCTCTTCCACCATAGTTTCGTCAACACCTTGTTGTGTTCGTCAAGAGCTTGATACCGTCTGACGAAAACAAGAATCAAGATTCAAGAATGGAACAAGATTACAATCTCATTGACTCCATTGAACACTCAGAACCGATCGAAATTGGAGAAATCCAATATTTTATCAATGAAGTATCAACCCAACTAAAAATAAATAAATAATGTAGAAATATGACCAAGGCCACGGCTTCATCTTTTAATTTATTGCTTTCTATTAGTTTGGATTGTTGCCTAGGTTGACAGTTCACACGCGGAGACAGCATCTGTCTGTTTGTCCTCATAGTAACCGTCCTAACTAAATTGCTTAATTTCATCAATAAAAAAAGTCAAAGATCATGTGACGTTGAATTATCTTTTCTTTAAGTATAATTTGGTAATGCCTGCGTGTTCTTTTCTTGTTAATTACAACTTTTAAAAAAAAAAAAAACTCAATTGCATGTACGTATATAGACTTGGTCACATTCGGACAACACCAGATCAAGACACTCACATAACGACACAATTGTCGAAATTTGGCTGTTTCTTTTCTTATTTGATCCTCTTTTTGCCGTCCTGCTCCTAACCCTATAAATACCTGCAATTCTATTTATGGTAATTCAATTTATAAATTAGAGTAAAAACTTAACGACGATGGTCGAGTCTAATCCCCCTTTACTCCACGAGTACTCCCAAATACTACGCCAATCGAGACAAGATTGTGCTGTTCAAAGCAAGATTGTTAGTGATAAATATAATGGATCATCAGAATGTGAACTGCCATTAATAGACCTTAGAGGTCTGAAAAGTGAGAATGAAGAAGAGAGGGCTTGTTGCATCAAAGAAATAGCACGTGCTTCGTCCGAATGGGGATTTTTCCAAGTAGTAAACCATGGTATTAGCCTACAACTCCTTGACAAGATGAGAAGCGAGCAAATCAAATTGTTCAATGCACCTTTTCAGAGTAAAGCCAGTTGTGGCCTTCTGAATAATTCGTATCGATGGGGAACTCCTACTGCGACTTGTCCGCACCAGTTCTCGTGGTCTGAGGCGTTTCATATTCCCCTAACCAAGATTGCAGAAGACGACTGTTATGGACAGTTCACCTCTTTAAGGTATGTATATCTTTATCTGTATCTACAATCACATACATATATTAGTCATGCACGGTTCGTTTAAGAACACATATCTTGAGAATCGATTGCTCGTTTGAGATTGTTGGGCTCTAATACCATATTAGGTTTCAATCGTATAATATTTTTCTTGTTAGGTGAAGTGGTCCAAACCCTACTTTATAACTAATGTTTCTATGTAATTAATATGTACAGGGAAGTGATGGTGGAATATGCAAGTGCAATGCAAGAACTGTCTAAATTGCTGGCTGGAGTTTTGGTAATGAATTTGGGTCATAGAAAGGAACTTTTTGATGAAATATGTGATGAAAGCACATGTTTTCTTAGGTTAAATCATTATCCAGCTTGTCCAATATCACTCGAGCTATTCGGTTTGGTACCTCATACAGATAGCGATTTTCTTACCATACTCCACCAAGACGAGCATGTGAGTGGTCTTCAACTCATGAAGGATGGGAAATGGGTTTCTGTCAAACCTAACAAAGATGCCCTCATTGTCAATATCGGTGATCTTTTTCAGGTAACTAATTAATACCTAGTAAGTTATCCCTATTTAAGTGTCTTATCATTTCAGAATAACAAATAGTAAGACTTCATTTCAATGTATTATCACCTGTAATGCATTTTGAGTCATCTCACTATTTGCTATTTAATGTTAATGAAAACCATCAAAATCTGAATTCATACCAAAAGAAAAGTCAGATTACTGTAATAACCAACCCAAAAAAGAGGTTTTATGGCTACAAAAAAGTGTGACACAATGTTGAGACTCTAGAAGGGAATATGGCTAATCTATTTTTCTCAAAATGTGTGAGTAAATAGTAAAAAGGGTTGAAAATCAGTTTGAACGCTGAACTTATAGGTACAAAAATTAAGCAATAAAACTTTGTTAGTCACTTTACTCAATTCTATCTTCATAACCTAATAGAATTTTCTTGCAGCAAATAAAAATCGTAAATTAAGAGAATTTTCACGTGACAAATAGAAATCTTACGTGGAATAATTTCAAACATTAGTTGAAATGAATTTTGCTATGTGTACATAGCAAAATCCATAGGGGTGTCTATAATGGACAAATGTCATTTGTCTATTATGGGGGGCGTCATTTGTCCATTATGGACACTCTTGTGTACACATAGCAAAATCCAGTTCAAATAGCCCTTCACATGTGATGAATAACTACCTTTAAACCGAACCCTTTTTTACAATTTTCAAAAAAAAAAAAACACCCATTTTATTAAAATCAAAATTTGGGAGAATTTTCCTACACCCCAAGTTCCGTCCATCACGGAATTTAGTATAGGTTCAGTGCTAGTATCTTTACAAAATTCAGATGACAGAAAATAGAGCACCCATAAGTTCATGTCCAAACTAATTGTTAACCCAAAATTACTTAATTAATATCGGAAATCTGTCTGTCTCCCCCAACATTTTCCACTGTTGGTCCCATATTCCTGCAATTTAAAATAAGAATAAGCAAATAGTGATTTCATTTTGTTCCCTATTCTGTCTTTGTCCAAATTAAATAATTAAAATGTTCCTCCAATCCATTGATTAACGATTCCTAATTAACATGTAGTGTCTGTTCAAAATCAAACTTAATTAAAATTTAGGCATTATGTCATGTCCTAGAGTGTTCGGGGGAGTGTCAAGATCAGACATGGGTCGAACATAGACACACTGACCTAATAAAAGTGTCCGTTTCCAAATAAAAAAAATTATTTTACTCCCCACTCTCCCTCCATTGACGACTAGGTATACATTCTTAAATAACATGTAGTGTCTTTTTGTTCAAACATGCATGCATGTGATAAGTCAAAGTCAAACTTAATTATTTTAATTTGGATAATTAATTATTGTTAAACAATTAATAAATTGCAGGCATGGAGCAACGATGTATATAAAAGTGTTGAGCACAAAGTGATGGCCAATTCAAGAAAGGAGAGATTCTCAGTGGCATATTTCCTTTGCCCTTCATACGATTCAATAATTGGGAGCTGCAAACAGCCTTCTCGTTACAAAACATTTACTTTCCGCGAATACAGGAATAAAACTCAAGAAGACGTCAAATTAACTGGCCATAAGGTTGGCCTTCCGAGATTTTTACTTGATTAGAATAATGAACTTATAATCTGATGATCGATATACAACTTTTTGTAAAATTCTATATGTATCTATGAAATAGTCCATTCAATACTTTAGAGATATATGGGATTTATATATCCAGCCTTTATCTGCAGGCCCATTTATACCACTATTAAGTTGAATAAATAGGGGAAAAATTCATGGGTCAGGTGTTTACTATTCCAAAATTAAAAATCAGGCCCAATAGTTTAAAATTACAAAAATCAGGTTTTTCTGAAATTAATTAATTACATTTCATAATTATTATATTAAATTAAATATTTAACTGTAATATAATAAAATCACCCCACCC